CACACACACACACACACACACACACACACACACACACATAAATAAAATAATTTAAAAAAAAATAAAAGAAAGTGGAATGCCACAGGGCTGAGGAATCGTAGTCACTAGCGGGATTCAGGCAACATGGAAAGGTCACATTCATGGGTGACTATAAAGTGACAATGAACTTAGATTCTAAATGAGTGTCCATGGCGTATAGTGTTTTTCTCTCCTTCCACAGGAAGTACACCTGCTACATGGAAGCAGATAACCACACAGGCACATCACAATTCCTTCTGCTGGGCCTCTCAGGTGATCCTGTATTGCAGCCTCTTTGCTTCGGGCTATTCCTGTCCATGTACTTGGCCTCAGTGCTCGGGAACCTGCTCATCATCCTGGCCGTCAGCTCTGACTCCCACCTCCACACCCCCATGTACTTCTTCCTCTCCAACCTGTCCTTTGTAGACATCTGTTTAACCTCCACCACAGTCCCCAAGATGCTGGTGAACATCCAGGCAAAGAACCAAGGCATCTCCTATGTAGAGTGCCTCACTCAAGTGTATTTTTTCAATATGTTTCTTGGAATGGATAATTTCCTCCTGACAGTGATGGCCTATGACCGCTTTGTGGCCATCTGCCATCCCCTGAACTACACAGTCATCATGAACCCACAGCTCTGTGGCCTTCTGGTGCTGATCTCTTGGATCATCATGTTCTGGGTCTCTCTGATTCATATTCTACTCATGAAGCAACTGACCTTTTCCACAGGTACAGAAATCCCTCATTTCTTCTGTGAATTGACTGAGATGCTCAAGGTGGCCAACTCTGATTCCCTGATCAACAACATCTTTCTTTATGTGGTGACTGCCCTGTTAGGTGTGTTTCCTGTCAGCGGCATTCTCTTCTCCTACTTTCACATTGTCTCAACCTTACTGAGGATGTCCTCTTCTGTGAGCAGGTATAAAGCATTTTCCACCTGCGGGTCTCATCTCTGTGTGGTCTCCTTGTTCTATGGGACAGGATTTGCAGTCCACCTCAGTTCTGCTGTGACCCATTCTTCCAAAAGTAGCACTATTGCCTCTGTGATGTACACTGTGGTGACCCCCATGCTGAACCCCTTCATCTACAGCCTGAGAAACAAGGATGTGAATGGGGCCCTGGGCAGGCTTCTCAGCAGAACAGCCTTTTCTCCTTGATGGAAAATAGACCTCGGAACTAAGCAGATAATGCATGTCTCTAGCCAAATACCTTCAACACCTTTTTTGTCTTTCTTTTTTTTTTCCTTTCAAACTTTTATTTATTTATTTGGTACAGGGTCTCCCTACACAGCTCAGACTCATAGTGATCTTCCTGTCTCAGCCTTCCCTGCAGTGGGATTACAGGTGTGTGCCAACAGACCTGATTTTGGTGTTTGGCATGGCATTCATCACTGGGAGATTGAACCAGGGACCTAGCACTTTCCAGGCAGGCTTTTAGACCACCAAACTATATCCCCTGCCCTTGTCTTTCTTTGTTTCTTCTCCATTTATATATTTGCTACCAGTTCTCACTATGCAGCTTCAACTCATAGTGATTCTCCTGTTTTCAGCCTCCCATCGCAGGGATTACCAACATGAGCCACCATGCCCAGACTTGGTTTCTGGCTTGCCACACCCCAGGGACAGAGCCAGTTTGCCATGGAAGACTGGGGATCGAACTTTGTCCCTGCACTTGCCAAAGCAGGTGCTTAGTCTGCTGAGTTATCTCCCTGGCCCTTGTTTTTCTTAAAGACATCTTTCATTTTCTCATTATCCAATCCGTATGACTTCCAGTTATATATTTTTATACTTATTTTCCCTTAACAATCCCTTCAGAAATTTCTATTTAAATTTGCTTACCCATACATGCTCCATCAGTTCAAAGCTTTGTTATTTTTTGGATGGACATCCTTAATATTTCTGACTGAAATAATTTACAGACTGTTGTGTGGAAAATCATTCCTTAAATATTCATGTTCTTCATTTTGCTTTGACTATATTTTTGTTTTCTCTGGAAGGAATAGAATAAGAATAATTAAAATTAAATACTTACCCTTTTGGGACTATATTGGTGACTTTAAATATGAAAATATTTATTTAAGATATATTTTTTTCATTTATGCATTTTTACCAAGTGATCAATTAGGGATGCACTATATTCTAGTTTCTCTTCAGATCATATAAATCTTTTGCCTTTTCCATTAGGGATGCTACAATCTGTTGGCTTGATACAGATCTCATATTCCTAAGCTTATTATCCTTATGTTTGTAAAAAAACAAAGCTTGACATTTCAACCTGAACTCTAGAATCTGCTTTTTAATGTAGCTTTGTTCATACTGCAATGATCCTTAGGATAATCCTGAGCTGTTTTTATTTTTGTGATCTGTTTCTCTCTTCTCACTTGTTCCTTTTCTTCTTCCTTCTTTCATTTTCACTTCGCTTTTTGTCTGATCTATTGGCAAATGTTAACTTGCTTCGTACCTTTTTTATGGACAAGAATATCCTGCTAAGTGTATACTCATTAGCCATTTATCCAGTAATGGAAATTTCCTCCTTTGATTACTGTAAATGGTGATGCTATGACTCTGGTCATATAGTTCATAACACTACTTCAGTCAATGGCAACCTACATCTAAATGATGGTTGCATAAGACTACTTATTACCTAGTGACACTATAGTCATATTTGTTTAAGTAAAATCTATGATGTTCACAGAAAAACAAAATCAGGAGCTGGAGAGATAGCTCAGTGGGCTAAAGTGCCTGCTTAGGCAAGCTTAGACAAGCACGGGGACCGTGGTTCAATCCCCGGCACCACATGCCATGCCAGCCACAACTCAAGGAGGGGCTGAGCCATATAGAATTGGGGTGTACTGACACATGACTATAATCCCAGCACTGGGGAGGCTGAAAATTGGAGGATCACCACAAGTCTGAGCTGTGTAGTGAGATCCTGCAACAACCAAATATATAACAACAACAACAAAAAAAATCAGCTTGAGGTACATTTTGAAGAATCTGTTTTTGCTGTGAAT